CAAATTGCTAAATTTGTCTAAACGTAAAATTCTGAATCCAAGGTTCCCTTGCAAGCTCAACTACTGTTTAGTAGAACATTAAATTTATCTGATTTTTATCCCTTGATGGTTAATTATAGTAAAATGAATTTTTTTTTAAATAAAATGAAAATAAAGAGTGGCGTTTTTATCACACAGTAAAGAAGCAGACAAAAGTTTTACTATCAGCTGGGCATGGTGGCTCACACCTTTAATCTCAGCACTCAGAAGGCAGAGGCAGGTGGATCTCTGGGAGTTTGAGGACAGCCTGGTCCACAAAGCAAGTTCTAGGACAGCCAGGGCTGTTACACAGAGAAAGCCTGTCTCGGGAAAAAAAAAAATTCAAGACTTGAAGTCATTCGGCCAATGGTCACTTCACATAAGCTGTTAGTTACTCTCCTTTAAACCCCACCAAAATATTACCTTTGCATGAATCTGAATCTTCTCATCAGCAACCCGAACAACTTCAATCAACGGTGGGGCTAGGGACCTCGCCTGCGTCTGTGGGGAGCGCAGGACCTCTTCAAGAAACTCATTAACATTTTCCTCATCAAGAAACAATCTTTCCTACAGTAGAAAGAGAAAAAAATATCCTTACAGGTCACCGTAAAGGTCTTACATAGTTCAATGTTACAGTTTTTAAAATGTTTATCTCACCAACAGTGAGTGCTATCTTAAAAAGAGGAACTCTAGTGTGGTCCAGAATATAATTAATATGAAAACATCTACTCATGAGGTCCACCTAAAAAGAGAAGGATAAAAGGAAGTCTTGATGATTTTCTAAGTTTACTAAAGTAGAGGTGTGCTTTTCCCTACAAGATGATCTTACTTACGAATAGTATTTCTTTTATTTTTCCCAAATATATAGTGTCTGCGGTAGCCCAGGCTGGCCTCTGTGTACCTGCAGGTGACCTTGAACTTCTGATCCTCCTGTCTCCACCTCCTAAGTGCTAGGATTATGCACACATCACCATACCTGGTGCCCTGGTATTTCTTAGGAATATTCACTTCAAGGCTGTAAATGCAATCCTAGCTATTACAGTTCCATCTTCTGATAATTCCTAATGAACCAGCTAAGAAATATACAGAATGTGTCTTTTAAATTCTTAACTATGCAAACTGGATGTAGTGGCACAAAACTGTCTTTCCAGCACTTGGGAAGTAGAGGCAGGAAGATCACAAGTTCAGGGTCACTTTCAGCTACACAGGAGTTCAAGGCTACTTTAGGCCACCTCAGACCCCATGTCTCAGACAAAATACAGAAAAATTTGTTGGCCACTTAAGAGCCAATTACAATATTTTATTTAAAAGAAGTACATTCTATTTATTTTTTTTGAAGCAATGTCAGGATTTAACGAAGCTATTTTAATACTAACTTTAAGAACAAGGATTATGAAAAACTAAGAAACTCAGTGCTGGGCATAGCATCGCACACCTTTATTCCTAGTGATCAGTAGCAGAAGCCAGTGGATCTCTGTGAGTTCCAGGACAGCCAAGGCTACAGAGAGACACGTCTCCGAGGAAGAAAGGACAGACACACTTGAAAACATGGGTGCAGGCTTTTCATATTTAAAAGTATTTAATTCATAAGATCAGTTTACTGTTAGCTCAAATAAGATTATCCTCTTCAGTGCTTTTATATAGGTAAATATTGTAATTACAAAGTAAAGATTATTAGGTGGTCCAAAGAGGGGACAAAATCAGAGATAAGTTTCAAATTCTTTGATTATATTACAAACAGTATTTGATTTTGCAAGTGAACCAATGAATTAGAAGAATTTTACATTTAGAACAATTTGCCTTTCTACTACTTGAAGATCCAGACTCTTACAGTCTGTATATTATTATTGAAGCACCCCATTAAAAGCATTTCTAAGTCAGGTGATGGTGCATGCCTTTAATCCTAGCGCTCTTGAGGCAGAGGCAGGTGTGTTTCTGAGTTTGAGGCCAGTCTGATCTACAGAGCGAGTTCCAGGACAACCAGGGTTACTTAGAGAAACCCTGTCTCAAAAGAACAAAAACAGCCGGGCAGTGGTGGCGTAAGTCTTTAATCCCAGCACTCAGGAGGCAGAGGCAAGCGGATCTCTGTGAGTTCCAAGGCCAGCCTGGGATACCAAGTGAGTTCCAGGAAAGGCACAAAGCTACAAAGAGAAACCCTGTCTCGAAAAAAAAAAACCAAAAAAAACCCCCAAAAAACAAAAACAAAAACACAAAAGAAAAAAAAAGCAACTGTAGCTGGGCATGGTGACACAGGCCTTTATTTTATTTATTTATTTATTCATTCATTCATTCATTCATTCATTCATTGTTTTTTTTGTTTTTTGGAGACAGGGTTTCTCTGTAGTTTTGAAGCCTGTCCTGGAACTCACTCTGTAGACCAGCCTGCTTCTGCCTCCTGAGTGCTGGGATTAAAGGCGTGCGACACCTCCGCCCGGCGACACAGACCTTTAATCCCAGCATTTTGGAGGCAAAAGCAAGTCGATCTGTGTGTTCAAGGCCAGCCTGGTATACATAGTTGCAAGACAGCAAGGGCTATGTACCTAGACGCACACTTTATCAAATGGTCTAAAACAAACGGAGAGACATTTTCTGTGTAATTTACAGCACCCACCAGAGGGCAACCTCGCTGAAATTAAACAGCTTCATAGGGCCAAATGGGATGTGGGAAAGGAGACTAAGGCCTTGGGGTAAGATAGGCGAGTGCTCTACCATTGAGTTTAATCTCCAACCCCAGCATAGGACGTAAATTATTTCCTCCCCGGAAGTATTTTATCATTACCTGCACAGATTTCTAGAATCGGAAGAAAGTGATTTCCCAAGTTAAAATATGACCACTTTAGAGTGCTTTTTTTTTGACATAAATACTTTTAAGAACGACTTGAATTATAACCATTTTCAGGAGAGACAGTACCCTCAATTTTTTGCATACAATACCAGAAATCTAGGACATCATTAAAATCCAGTCTCTTCAAGTCAGTCGGTGGACCCTAAGGAAACGGCTGCATTACGGACAACCCTGAAGACATGAAGTGCATCCTTCGGATATGTACAAACTTCGCTTTGAGAACGCACTTACCACGCACTATCTTTCATAATATGAATAGAGAAAACATTTGGTTAGGTGCCTGTAACAAAACACTTTTAAAGTAAGATGGAGTATTTCAAATAGTGAAAACGGTTACCTCCAAAGACTCACTGTTCAAGCCACAATACCATTCTCGCCAATGTCCGCGGCTCTCTGGAGATTTTGCCAGTACTATCACCGCATTGTTTAAAGAAATGCTAATCTCGGGTTCTTTGGTACTCAACTTATTCTCCGGAGCAAACTGCAAAGTGAAGGAGTAACCTGAGTCCTGTGCGGAGAAGCACAATTTGTAGCGGAGGGGGCTCAGGTCCCCGTGAAGACTTTGCGGCTGAATCCGAGGCACCTGAATGAGCAAAGTCAAGGAGTCTTCGTCCTGATTACAGCGCAAAGGAGGGCACACTGGTTCGATGCTCTCGGTCCCGGGGCCACCCATGGCTGAGCCCGAGGCGTCGTGGCCGGTCCCCTCCTGCTCCTCACACGTCTGGGCACTGAGGTCTCCGCACAGTCCCGGTCTTGCCGCGGGGGACTCGGTGTCGCCGCCCGGGAACGCAGTGCAAGGGAGGCTTCGGTCCCCAGGAGGAGGCTCTTCCCCGAGGCCTAGGGACGCCACCGAGTCCCCACCGAAGTCCGGCTCCGGCTCGGGAACGAGCTCCCCTTCAGCGTCTGCAGCCCCCAAGCCCGGGGCTCCCGCTCCGCTCCCGTCCCCGAGGTCAGCTCGGGTCGCCTCCGCCGTCTCTTCCCGCGCCGCAGCCAGCTGGCCCTCGGAAGCGCGGGGTGAGCCGTCAGTTCCGGTCCCGGCCGCGGACTCTTCCGGCGTCGCGGCGGCGAGGTCCCGGCGCGCGATCGACAGCGCCACGGGCAGCGTGACGACCAGCTGTCGCCGCGCCTTGTTGAACTGCGCCTTGCCGCGGCCGTCGTCCACCGGGTAGGGCAGCGAGAGCCGCAGGCGGTAGTCGGGGCTCCTGGAGTCCAGGCACAGCAGCTTCCCCTTCACCTCCAGCTCCGCCTTCTCGGCCGAGCGCAGCAGCGGCAGCTCGATGGTGACCACCAGCTCGTGCGGCACGGGGCTCGGGGCGGCGTCGCGCGAGCAGCGGTAATCCTGGAGGTCCACGTGGTGGCGCTGCACCACGGTGCAGCGGGGCTCGGTGGGCTCGGTGGGCTCCGGCCGCGGCTCGGCCTGGGCAGCCGGGGGCGCCGGCGTGCGAGCCGTGCTCTCCGCCGCCGCGGGGTAGCGGTACGGGTATGACAGGTCCGGGAAAAGCCCCGGCGGCTCCCCCTCGGGCCGGGCAGGGACGCCCCCGGGAAGGGGAGTGCGCAGCACCGCGGCCTCGGGCACCCCCTTGTACTTGATCTTGAGGATCTTGGCGTTCCTGCGGTCCAGCCTGACGCCGAACTGCTGCTCCACCGCCTCCAGGGCCGTGGCGTCCAGCATTTCGCGGAATCGCTCGTGGCTCCGGGCCAGCGCTAGCGCGTCGGGGTGGAAGACCACGTCGTAGACGGTGTAGCGGGAGCCGCTGCGCCCCGCATACTTGCGGCCGGGCGCCAGGCTGTAGGGCAGGGACCAGTGGCTGCCAGCTGCCGTGCCGCCGCGCCCCGCGCCCGGCCGGCGGCTGGGCGAGCCTACCAGCGAGTTGCTGCACACGTTCACGAAGCAGCGGTGCTCCCCGTCCAGGCTGGTACGCAGCACGTGGCCCGGCTCCGGGTGCACGAACCGCACCTCCACCCCGCGCTCCCGCTCCAGCGCTGTGATCTCCTCCTCGTAGCGCCTCCGGTTCTCAGGGTCCGTGATCTCCGAGGCGTACTCGGAGAACATTCGGCGGAACTCTGGGTCCTGAAAGGCGGAGGTGAGCCGCTGCACCTCCTCTCCGCTCAGATCCAGGTCCTCCAGCGCTGAGGAGGCCGCCGTCTTGGCCATGGTGCCCCACTCGGCCCCTCACCAGAGCCCGGTGAAGGATCAGCCCGAACCTAGGATGCGCTCTGGGAACAAGCAGAAGTGACCAGCCGAGGAAGGTAACCGTTGGACAGCTGGGCAGCGCGTGCTTTGTTGCCATAGTAACACCGTGGAGGCGGGGCAGCGATCTCGTGGAAATGCTAGAAATAGGCTGTTCACACCAAGCAGCCACTCTGCCTGCTACAGGCTTGAGACTTCTGTTCCAGGATACACGTACTTTGCAGTCTATCGTCATAACTGTCCTCATTTCCAGCACTTTGTCTTATTAACTGTTCACTTTCACAGACAAATGAGAAGTTTCCTAGCCAAGGCTACAATTCACAAACGTAACTTTTATCTGGCCCTTTTCACTTTGTGAAACCGACATTTAAGCCCTAATTTTTGTTCTGTTTTCAGGTATCCTACCTTATAATTGTCCCATAAAAACTCTTGGGGGCAAAAGATGGACTAAAAAATCCCAAAGCCCAGTAAACAAGGGGAAGTTACTCACTTTTCATAATGTAAAAGGTCCCATAAATCACTTAGCAAAATCAGACTTTGTCCCGATCGGTTTCCTTGGGTTGAGAATAGAATTAAAACTGCACGTCTTTTGAAAACCACATATCCTTAGATTGACTCAGTAGTTCCTAACAGTGTGATTCTAAAAGAAAGACTATAAGCTCCACAAGGAATTAATGCAGCAGGTGTGGTACTAATACAATGGAATTTTATGCCGCCAGACTTTATAGGGGCCGGACCCAGGACCTCACTTGTAGCATGAGCTCTACGCCTGAGCCACACCCCCAGGTCCAGAGTGAGGTTATGAATTGATAGCTGGCCAGTCCTGGATCAGCTGTATGTGTGCAGTGTTTAGCACAGTTTACATTGGCATTACTGCAACCACAAGACCTTTTCCAGGTTTTTCTCTTAACTCATCCTTTTTTGTGTGGAGAGGAAGAGCATCCCAGGACCAAACCCAGGGCCTGGCACCTACAAGACAAGCACTCTTCCACCGAGCTGCATCCCGAGCCTTCCATCTGTTCTCTCGGTCGCTTTTGCACACACCTTCCTCTGTTACATTTTCAGTAGAATGTCCCAAGACTGGGATAGCACCTCGTCTCCATTACGTCATCTCTTTCACAATATATAAATATCGTACGTACTCAGCTGGGCATGATGGCGCACACCTTTAATGCCAGCACTTGGGAGGCAGAGGCAGGCGGATCTCTGAGTTCATGGCCAGCCTGGTCTTATAGATGGAGTTCTAGGACAGTGCAGCCAGGACGACACAGAGAAACCCTGCCTCAAAATAAACAAATAAATAAATAAACTCACAAATAACCAACTCCTGTTTCAAGTTCTAAACTCCCAACTTATCCAACTGTCCACGTGATGTCTCCATTTGAGGCCTGGAATGGCTGATAATGGAACTCTGGACTGCTGTCCTTTGCCTCACCTGTTCCTTGATCTCCCAGCAGCTGTAAGCCTGGCTTGGAATGCATTTTCCTCTTGACTTGAGCACTCAAAGGTCTGTCCTTTCCTCCTTTCCTTGCCTCTCACCTGCCAGCTTCCCTATACACACCAAGCTCATAGCTTGAAATGGCATCTGTCATCAGATCAGTCCTGATCAGATGTTTATTGCTTACTCTACCTACTACGTAGGTAAGTTAATGCTCTTTTTGAAATTTGCTCTATTGTTGTCTATGTGCACGCATTTGATGCACACGTGTGTAGGTCAGAAGACAACTTTTGGGAGTGTGTCTCTTCTTCCACTGTGGGTACCGGGGATCCAACTCAGGTGGCCAGGCTTGCACACAGCAAATGCTTCTACTCACCAAGCCATCTTGACAGACTGATAAGTTAATGTTAAATCACTAGGGAAAAAAATCACTGTGCTCTAACGGCAAAACCACTGGCACTCTCTCATGTTGAGAAAATATGTTGGAACAATCACTTGGGGAAATTACTATTGAACATAATGTGTATGATGAAAAAATTCCATTTTGAGATATACGTCCAACAAAAACTAGATGTGTTTGTACACACACACATACATTTTAAAGATTTTTTTTTTTAATCGTGTATGTATGTGCACGGGAGTGCAGGTGCGCACCAAGGCTAGATGAGTCAGTTATATCCCCTAGTCCTGTACTGTAGTGGTTGTAAGCCACCCACTGGAGGTGCTGGGAACTGAACTTGGGTCCTCTAGAAGGGCAAAATGCAATCTTCTCTACTGAGCCCCTTAGAGTGTGTGTGTGTGTATATGGATTTATTTATTTATTATGTATACAGTGTTCTGGCTGCATGTGTCCCTGCACACCAGAAGAGGGCACCAGATCTCATTACAGATGGTTGTGAGCCACCATGTGGTTGCTAGGAATTGAACCCAGGACCTCTGGAAGAGCAGTCAGTGCTCTTAACCTCTGAGCCATCTCTCCAACCCGATTCACAAAATTTTAAAAACTTACTTTTAAAATGGACTGGATTGTGACTAGCATGGAAATAGTGAAACAAGTGTAAATATGTCGTTGCATTACATTTTAAACATACCTGCAGGTTTTTGAGACTGCAGAGAAAACATTTTTCTATAAAATTTTCTGAAGTGTAACATAACATTAAATTTTCATAAAATACAATTTGTGCAGAACATTCTAAGGTTTACCATAACTTTATTACAATTTAATATACAAATTACACAAGATAAAAATAAGAAAATTCATTTCATTTATTCTCATGAATCTCAAAAGCCCTGAAGTTTGCTGAAATAGAAAAATAAAATAGAATTAAGCATTATCACTCATTTCTTAATACTTAGTTGTAGTTATGTTTAAAGACACATCCAAATACATGCATACTCATAATTCAAGAGGAAACACTAAAAATATGTCTCACATCCAACTTGTTCTCCTAAAAGGATACATCTTTATAAAGGTAGTCTAATTAAAAAAAACAACAACAACAACAACAAAAAAAAAACAACTGGGCCACACAGTTCTAAGCCAGCTAAGAATGCTCTTACAGAGGACCCGAGTTCAGTTCCCAGCACCCACATCAGGCAATCACAACTTCGTGTAACTCCAGATCCGGGAGATCTGGTGCCCTCTTCTGCTACCATGCTCACCAAGTGGTCAGTTGTACTTTTCGAAGACCTTTGAACCCCATCACTACACATCTAGGGTCTCTCTACTTTGCTGCCAGTTTGCTCTGCCTACGCTTTGAGAAACAGCCACAAGGGAAGAACAGGAAGCATCCTCAGGTGTCAACCTACGTGAGAACTAGCCCACCTCCAAAGCCAGCCTGAGAAGCCACCGAAAAAGTTCTTATCAACAGAAACCAACCAAGCACTTAGCATGACTGCTTTCAGTCTAAAGCATTCCCAGGAAGTCACTGCAGACATACAAGGAAAATCTAAGCATACCTATCAAGTGTGACTTTCAGAATAAAAAAGCAAGAGAAGGCCATGCTCACCTGTCTTCCACTGTCTTACTGGAAGGGTAAAAAACTTTGAATGCAAATCCACTTCTTGGAAAAGAGCCCTTTAGAGACAAAAATGTCCGTGAGTATTGGACTTGTAAAAAATAATCCCTATTTTTAGAATCACATTTCTTAGTCATGATTTAAAATTACAAGATGTGACTACAAAATGTTAGCAGTTTTTTTTTTAGAGGTTACTATAAAATGTCACAGTCTAGTAATCTTCTAAGTTGACCAGTTTTATTCCAACAAATGTCACTGGAAATGCTTTGGCATGGCTCCACTCAGTGTGGAAACAAGTAGTACTGTAAAATATTAAACATGCATAGAAGACAGACATTGTGTTCAAGGAGTCTTCCCTGCCTTTCCCCCAATGCCAGGTTGACAGGATCCCAGTGTGCCCCCAGCACCACTGAGCACGAATTACAAGTGACTGTCTATGATGAAGACCTAATGTTACCTCAGAGCCTAGAGCTTTTCAGTCTGTCTGAAGCCCTGATTCAATGCTTGTCCTACAGCAAGCACTCAGTACTGTAAGTAAGTACCAAGAAGAGATAAAAGAAAAAATGGGGCTGGAAAGACGGCCCAGCAGTTAAACACATATACTTCTCTTTGAGAGGATCCAAGTTCAGTTCCCAGCACCCACTTCAGGGGGCTCACCATCACTCCCGCTTCAGAAGCATCCAACACCCCTAGTCTCTGGGCACCTGCATACATATGGGCATAGCCACACACAGACACATACATATAACTTAAAAAATAATAAGATCATCTTTTTTTAAGAAAGAAAAAAGTAATGAAGCATTATCAAAATATCAAGTTTTGAACCTGACCAAAATGTATGAATAAGGTTAAAAAAAGAGAGAATGCGTCAACTAAGAAAATGTCTGACAATATAACAAATATCTAAAGAGAATATCCAATGAGGAAATAGTCTCATTGTGATATCTGAATGTAATGAAGACTGAGGGGCTGGAGAGATAGCCCAGCTGTTAAGAGCACTAGGTGCTCTTGCAGAGGAACCAGGTTCAATTCCCAGCAACCACATGGCAGCTCACAATCATCCATAACTCCAGTTCTAGAGAATCCAATGCCCTGTTTTGACATCCTTAGTCACCAGTCACACACGGTGCATTTTTTTAGGTTTAAAATAAACCTTAAAAAAAAAAAAAAAGACCGTGGAAACCAGACCACAAACTTCATGCACCGAAGCCAAGTATGCTGATCCTTGGAGAATGATTCTCAACCAGGGATTCTCGTCCCTTAAGAGACATTCAGAGACATCTAGGGATACTTATGATTGTCACGAGTGAAAGATGTAAGCGACACCCAGTGAGGATGCAAGCATGCAGCCGAGCTTCCTACAGTGCGCATGAAAGCCCCTACAATCAAGAATTAATTTCTTGGTCCAAGAAGCAAATGTGCCAAGGCTGATGCTGAGCCCTGTGCAGACAGAGAAAGCCACACAAATGCACACTTGACAAAGGCAGCCAGATGAAACAAAAGGTATTAAGATTTAAAATTCAGAAGAATCAGCATGCAGACTAAAAATCACAAGGTGGCCCGGTGTGGTAGAGCACACCTTTAATCCCAGCACTCAGTAAGCAGAGGCAGCTAGGTCTCGGGGTTTAAGGACAGCCTTGTCTACGCAGAGTTCCAGGGCTACACAATGACACCCTCCCTCAAATCAAAACAAAGCAAACACACAACTAGCAAAGACAATGTTCTGTTTGATATAAACGATGGTTATGTGATTATTTGTGGTATATATTTTCCAGGTCCTAAAGTCAATCATATCTTCAGATACTGAAGCACCTTGAACATTCCAGAGTCGTTTCAAAAATTAAATAATCATAGAAAAATTAAATAATCAAGTGCACCATAATGAAATTTCATTCATCGGGCTTGGACTCTGGACATTTGGACAGTTTCTACAAGCCACAATTCTCAAAGGAGAAGCATCAATAAGGTAAGGAAATGGCTCCAGGATCTGAAAGCAGTTCCCAAAGAGCAACTGCACAGTGTGTGACTTTGCTACATTGAAAGGAAAAATATTCATTTGTATATTTTGGTCTGCTTATTATTTAAAAAATCTAGCCAGGTGATGGAGGCACACGGCTTTAGTCCCAGCACTTGGGAGGTAGAGGCAGGTGGATCTCTTAGTTCGAGGCCAGTCTGATCTACAGAATGAATTCTAGGACATCCAGGGCTACACAGAGAAACCTCTCGAAACGTCTCAAAACAACAACAACAACAAAAAACCCTACAATACATTATAGTTACATCACATACCAAGAGTTTAGGAATCTTCTATGTATACCAAATTATATCAGCGCTTGACTAACTATGTATTTAATCACAGTGATGATTTTTATTCTCTATATAAAGTCACAGAAATGTGCTCTAGGGTGCAAAGTGACTTAACAGGTAAGGTACTTGCTGCTGAGCCCGATAGCCTTAGTTCCATCTTTGGTTCCCACATGGTGGAAGGAGAGAACTGACTCTCACCATGGCATACACGCTACCACACACACACACGACACATGAGATAATTGTAAAATTAGAGAAGAGAAAGAAAAATGTGCTATACTCTTGCCCATCCACGGCATCCTTACAGGGTTTATGCAGAGGCACTCAGTGTTGGTCACGGTGAACGGATCATACTTGTCTGCAATGACCAGCAGATCGGGCACAGGGTACACTCTCAAAGTATAATCATATGCCCAGTGGACGGGGCAGACATAAAGAGGCAGAGGAGTCAGATGTCCCTGAGATAAGACAGTCTTTACAAACTACAAAAGAACACAAAACAAAGCAAAACAGCTCATCAGTGAAACTGTTGAACAAGTAGTTTTAAATGAAGGACTGATTTCCATGAAGACTTGGGATATCTATAAAACAAGCCTTGAATCACAGAACATGAAGAAACATTGCTCTTAGAATGAAATTATCACATGTTCTAGGGGAAAACAACCTAAGTTTTCATTTAATATCATTTATCATAACACTGACCCTCTCTTTGAATCAACCATACATATAATAAAGTCATTTACTACTTCAACTCACTAAAAAAAAAAAAAAAGGGAGTGTGGTAATCTGTACTCCCACCAATTAGAAGGCTGTGTATTGCCATGAATTTGAGGCTACAGCGAGAGACCTTGTCTCAAAAAAAAAAAAAAAAAAAGAAATCTAAAATAATAATAATTAATAATATTTGATATTGCTGGACATGATAGTGCATGCCTGTTGTCCCAGCTACAGAGATGGCTAAGAGGATTATTGGGGCCTATGAGTTTAGGCCAGCCTGGGTAACTCAGTAAGACCCATCTCTTAAAAAAAAAAAATCACAACTACAACAATTTCGCAGGGCTGGTAGAATTGCTCAGTGGGTACAGCGCTTGACACCCACAATGCAAGCCTGGTGAGTTGGGTCCACTCCCCATGGAAAGGTGGAAAGAGAACGGACTTCACAAAGCTGCTGCTCTCTGGCTTCCACATGTGTGCCACCCACACCATATACACACAAGAGTAAAAGTAAAAATTACAGCTTCATAGTGTAAGTTAGGAGTCAGTAGCCAGTCAACCCGGGCTACACCTTTAAAAAGAAAAAGAAATTTGTAACAAAACAAAGTGATTTACTTCATACCTCTCAATGACAACTGTATGTTTGAGAACTTGGAATTTACAAGATAAACACTGCATGTCCTCCTGATGTGGACACACCATATGAAATATGTAATAAACGTGAGAAATATGAACATCTTATAAAAATAATACACATATTATGAAGTAAATCTAAGAATTTTCAGGGAAACCGAGAAGCTTCAAACAAAGCCCCTGCTTGCTCTGGCCTTCCATCTGTCTCTAGGTTCTTCAACAGAAAGCCACAACCCCGACATAAGAACAGAACTCCACTACTACGTTCCACAAGGAACAGCAAAACACAAGCGCACAGGAGCTTATCCAAGTTCATAAAGCACAGTATTTAAAAGAGTTCAATCAAAGCCAGGCGGTGGTGGTGCACGCCTTTAACCCCAGCCCTCAGGAGGCAGAGGCAGGCGGATCTCTGAGTTCGAGGTCAGCCTGGTCTACAGAGTGAGTTCCAGGACAGCCAGAAGAGAAACTGTCTTGAAAAACAAACAAACAAACAAAAACAAAAGCCCACAAGAGCTGAAGAGATGGCTCAGTGGTTAAGCAGTCATGAGCACCCGAGTTCAGATCCCAGCACCCATGTCAGACTGCTTGCCAACACCTGTAACTCAGCTCCAAGGGACCCAATGCCCTCTTCTGGCTTCCAAAATGTGCACATACATGTGCATACTATGCTCACAAAGATACACACACAGAAATGACAAAACTAAAAAATAAATCTTTTAAAACAAAACCAAGGACTGGAGTACTGACTCAGTGGTTAAGAGCACTGTGGCTCTTGTACAGGACCAGGGTTCGATTCCCAGCACCCACATGGGGGCTCACAACCCTCTCTAACTCCAGTCCCAAGGAATCCAATGCTGCCTCCATAGGCATCAGGCACAACCATGGCACACGTACATACATGCAGGTAAAAATCCATATACACAATTTAATAAAATAAATAAATACAAAAGAAAAGGTAGTTTACCAAAGAAGACTACTTACATGAGTAGGAATATCCAAACTGCTACTAGGAAAACGAACACAGTTTCGACACATTTTATTCACTAAGTCTTCACGAAAGACAATAATTTCTTGTGTACAATACTGAATTCTGAAATAAAGCAGTAGTTGAATATTTGACTTCCTCAGAGGAAAAAAAAGATTTTAAAAAGTCTTTTAATATCAACATCACCCACTGCACTTCTCAATGGTCACCACAGCAGAAATTCAACCAGTCTATCTCATCTGTTCTCCAATGTAATTATTTAGAGTTCTCTCTCTCTCTCTCTCTCTCTCTCTCTCTCTCCCTCTCTCTCTCTCTGTGTGTGTGTGTGTGTGTGTGTGTGTGTGTGTGTGTCTTGCACATGCAGAGTGCTAGGGTTTGAACCAAGCCCTTTACATTTCCCATGAAAGCACTCTACCACTGAGATGCACTCCCAGCCCTTTACTAAGTTCTTAATAGGTGCCCAACACTATGCAAAGATTAGTGAACAGAACAGAAGAAAAAGATACGAGTCTTACACACTTTACATGCGGGAAGAGGGCAAAGAAATTAAAGACATGATAATGATGTTGGCTGGAAAAGAGAGACAGGTGAAGAGGGATGACACTTGGGAGAAGAGGGTTTAGAAGGCTGGAGGATGGGATTAGAGCTGGGAAGGCTCATCAGACACAGTGACCTAAGACATCCGGAGGCAGGGCACTGCAGTCGGGGGAAGAGGCAAAACATGGGACCCAAGGCTGGAGTGTGCCCTGCATGCTTGGGGCGCAGACACTGACGTGAGGAAGTAACTGGGAGAGGAAATGCAGGGTGGGCATGACTACCTCTGCAAGGATGAGAGACCCCATCTTTCGAGACAGGAGGGCAACATGACATGGTCTCTACAGGGAGGAGTGGAAGCCAGAGGCCAGTTCAGAGACTAATAATCCAGATTAGAGAGGACCAGTGGGTCATAAATGTGAGAGGTGACCTTGGAAGTTGATAGGGCTACCTCAAAAACTGTGTGTAAGGGAAACCTCCATGGTTATGGCCTGAGCAATTGGAAAATCAAAGGACCACAAAATGAGATGGGGATGCCCCAGTACAGGTGAGAGATGGTGTCAGCTCGGGGGGCATCAGAGCTGTCTATCTACCAGACATCCAGAAAAAGACGACAGTGGACATCCAGACCCGAGAGTGTGGGGTTCGGAGTAAGCTGGAAACACTGTTGCCAGCACAGAGACCATAACTTCACTATTAGCTAAGTATTTGCATATAGTTAAAATATTTTTCAAACCTTGAGGAATCCAAAACCAAATTTTCTTTTTAGATTTACTCAAAGTTCAGAAATAAATTAGAAGAATACTTTTTCAATGAAATGAAAGAAGTTGAGCACAAAATGCTGCTACTTACCTGCAAGGATTGGTAGTGAAAACTGAGAAAGGGACCCTTTGTCTGAATTCCTTCGTGATGCTTTCAGCAAGTGGCGGCCTATAAAAACAATGTGATATGGGAGGTGGTTATAGATTTTACACCATTCTCCCGACTGCCAAAAAATAGAAAACAAATGTGAGCGAAGATTACCTTGGTAAGATGGAACCAAAGCCAGGGTCCTCGGGACCAGGCACAAACACAAAGCGGCTACTGCAGGAAAATCCAACACCAGCCGTTAGAAATAACAGCGTGCGACATCCCCGGAGCAGAAATTAGTCACTGCCTCCCACTGAATCACAGGCTTTTTTTGTTTTTTAGAGTAGATGTCTTGTTATGTAGCCTGGAATCTGCAATCCTCTTGCCTCAGTCTCCCCAGTACTCGGGTGCCATTATGCCTACCTACAATTTTTTTAATTTTATGCATTTTAATAAACTTCTGAAAGTCTCCAATCTAAAACTATGCATTAGTAGTATGGTGACAAGTGCATTTGCACGGTCCAGTCCCTGAGGATGCTTTAACTGTGGCTAGTGTGGCTGACGGACTGAATCTTACATAATTTTACATGTGTGTACGCTTGCACACACGTGCACATATATGTATGTACAAGCCTGTGTCTGCTAAGGCACACATGTGGGATTCAGAGGACATCTTGTAGGAGTTGGTTTTCTCCTTTTATGGGTCTCAGGAATTGAACTCAGTTAGGAGGCTTGGCAAGCACCTCCACCCACCAAGCCACCTTGCTGGCTCAGACTGATTTGTCTTTACAGAGGTTCATGAGGACAGTGATGATCATACGGAAGGTCCATCTCCAAACAAGTGTCACCAAAAGCTACAGATCAACTTGCCACTCTGCCTTCTAAGTTTGGTTTCACTATAAATCCAGAGAGCAGTCTAACACACATGATGATGTGAGAATTTTATTCTGGGATCTTTTAACACTCTCAACTTTTTCTCTTTCTACAGGCAATTTCTTTATAATCATTGATATAAATAAACTTCATGTTTCATTTAAAAAAAAAACTATTTTGGATTAAAAACAAAAAAAGGTAGTCACAGAGATCTTTACCTTTGGTGGATACTTGGGTATTCACTTATTATGTCTGCCAAAGACTTTAGGGAGTCTAAAAAATTTTAAAGATATTTAATTTAATTTGTATACATCCATAAAGTTACAGTTGATTAAGTACAACCCTATAGTTCTTTAATAAAATTAAAATATAATTTATCAATGTAATTTATATAAATATAGAAACACTCTTTTTTTTTTTTTTTTTTTTTTGGTTTTTCGAGACAGGGTTTCTTTGTGTAGCTTTGCGCCTGTCCTGGAACTCACTTGGTAGCCCAGGCTGGCCTCGAACTCACAGAGATCCGCCTGGCTCTGCCTCCTGAGTGCTGGGATTAAAGACGTGCGCCACCACCGCCCGGCTAGAAACACTCTTAATGATTTGTTTGTTTTTCAAGACAGGTTTCTCTGTGCAGCCCTGGCTATCCTGGAACTTGCACTGTAGACCAGGCTGGCCTCGAACTCACAGAGATCCACCTGCCTCTGCATCCTGAGTGCTGGGATTAAAGGCGTGCGCCACCACTCAGCTTAGAAGCACTCTTATAAACAAGATCTTCAATACCTTTCAAAGTCTGAACTTGATTTTTTCCATATGGTGCAGATGAAAAATTACCACAGAGAATAAAGCAGGTTGGAGGTGCCGGAGAATAACCTAGAGAATAAAAGAACATAGCTTTTGGTTTTTTTTTTTTTTGGTTTTTTCGAGACAGGGTTTCTCCGTGTAGCTTTGAGCCTCTCCTGGAACTCACTTGGTAGCCCAGGCTGGCCTCGAACTCACAGAGATCCACCTGGCTCTGCCTCCCGAGTGCTGGGATTAAAGGCGTGCGCCACCACCGCCCGGCAAGAACATAGCTTTTCAAGGCTGAAAATTTTGTTTTATTTATTTAATTATTTTTGAGACAGGATCTCACTATATAGCCCTAGCTGGCCTGGAATCCACAGAGATCTACTTGCCTCTACTTTCCAAGTGATGGGATTAAAGGCATGCGTCATCACGCTTGGCTGGCTTTAACTGTGAAAGCTTTTGTTTTGAAAACAAGATTGCCTATGTTGCCCAGACTGGTCTCTAATCATGGTTCAATCACCCACCTCTGGCTCCCATGTAGCAGGGCCCACAGATGCACTCTACCACGGCAAACATTTAGTTTTAGGATATAATCCCTCAGAACAGTTCAAGAAAGAATACAAAAATAATATGTACCGGAAAACATTATGTGAAGCTTCTCCAACACTTGCACTTGGTCCAACCAAACATCAGACACAAACACAAACATGGCGTCCTTGTTCTCATCTTCCAGCTGTCTCAGTTTCGCAGAAGTCTTCACTGATGCATTAGAAGGCCCTCCAAAAAAATTAATATTTCCATAGTACGCCCTATATAATTACAACATGGTTATCTCCTATACCATGTCTATTCACCAAGAAAGTAAAAATGTGCCAGATACAACAATCGTGCAACACGGTATTCCAGACATGAAGTATGTTGCCTGCACATCATTTAAAACACACACATGTGCATGTGCGCGGACACACACACATTCTAAAACAGGCTATAAAGGGATACCCAGTATACACGCTTCAAAAGCTGTTCTCAGAGCACAGCAGCCATTTCCATTTTAATCAGACCAGCTGTGATTACCCGCAGAGACCCCCAACAAGGTTGGGCCTACTGGCAGTCTTCACAGGAGGGGATGGGGCAGTAAATAGAACCTCACTGGACGGTCCAGACACTCTGCACATGGCTATATGTCATCCTGGCCCAGTTACACAGTCTTGGGAGGTGTAAGGTTAACTGAGGAGAATGGACTCCATCTATGCACTTACGGGGAATCATCGTCCATGCTGGGGCGAGACTTCAATAGGTCACCCATGATCCTGTAAGCTCACTAAAGCCACCATTTCCCCAGGCAGATGTGAGCACAGCTGGTTCTCAGGTCTGCCACTGATGCCCTATCAAGTCTCCTTAGGACAGGTTATAGTAACAGCACACTTTAGTGACACAGGAGCAAGTCAAGTCCCCTCAGTGGCTCCCCTGGCTGGCCCCAGGCTGGAGCTTCTCGTACTACCCCTTCTGTATGAAGCAAGAAGGCAGTGCTACCCTCTACCTCGGCTTCACAAGTGCCTGGCAACTCATTTTGTTTCACTGTTCATGCACCACTGAGTCACACACTGTACACTGACAGGGATTTGGACTAGACTCCATAAATAATGAGAATTATCTATATAGGTAATTCATATAGATATATAAATCGTAACATAAAGAATAGGCTCATTAAATTCATTTTTCTTTTTATGCCTTTATAGTCTATTTTTTTTCTCTATTTTCACTTTAAAATTTTTATTTGGGTATTTGTGTGTGTTTGTGTGTGTGTGTGTGTGTGTGTGAGAGAGAGAGAGAGAGAGAGAGAGAAAATGTATGTCACAGTGTACGTGTAAGGGGGGGAGGGAGAGAGAGAGAGAGAGAGAGAGAGAGAGAGAGAAAATGTATGTCACATGAGTGTACCTGTAGGGGGAGACAGAGACAGAGAGAAAGAATACATGTCATGTGAGCGTGTACCTGTGGAGACCAAAAGCGGGCATCAGATCTCCTAGAGCTAAGACACGTGAGTTTCCATTGCTTTTTCCATTTCAACACAAAGTGTAGACACTGGGTAATGACTGAGATAAACATTACATTCGCTATTGGGAATATACAAATTCCTGTAGCATAGAATACCTTGTGGTACTAGCGGGTTCAGTGGGTGGGAATCCAAAGGCATTGACATGAAACACTTGATCTTCAAACCAACCTAAAAAAATACAAAATAATAAATAAGGAAACAAATGGTAACAAATCACTTTTACCTGTTCATTTTTGAAAAGGCAAATCCACGTCACATAAAGCAATGAATTCAACTACAGAAGTCACCAATCTTACTGAGATATCCAACTACAGAGCCACGGACTGTCCAATTTTATAAGGAAAACTACCTTAAACAAGCATATCCCATCCCAGTAGACTCATATTTTAGGGTGGAGTGAAAGGGGATTCATGGCACACGTCAGAGAGAGAGACCAGCCACATTGATGAGAAGTTATTGAGCGTGTGACCCCATATAAAGTCCAAAGGAGACTTTCCGTCTTACAAACTGCGACGCACACTGCGCAGCGTGCACATGGGTGGTTTTCAGTACACGCGGGCTGTGCCGCTTTCTCCAATGTCTAATCTCAAGACGTTTTCCTCAGCCCTGAAACCTTTTCAACAGCCCGTTTCTCAAGAGTCCCCTGCTCATCGTGCCAAGGTCACATGCTCGTCGTGAATGTCCTCTGGAATGACATCGGAAGGTGTCTTCCCCAAGTAGGAACAGTTTGACTGTCTAGCAAGGACAGGAAAAGGGCGCATCGCTTACCTTCCGCCAGGACAAAGCACGCCTCGGTGTATAGGCCACTGTGGAACTGGTACAAAGCAGCTGAGGAAGAGTTCAAGGCCAGCATACCTGCCTGAGCGACAGGGCACTTCTAGCTTTGGGGTGTTGTTTTAGATTTCTCTTAGGGGCTTGTACTGCTGTTACACGGGAGGTCTTGTTTGTTTGTGGTGGGGGAAGGTTGAGACATGTAGCCCAGACTGGCCTCAGAACTCCTAAAACTCAGCCTTCCAAGTGCTGGGACTACAAGTGAGCACCCATGCCTGGCCCTGAAAAGAGTTTTAAACAATAAACCGCAGGAGGGCAAGATGGCTCAGCAGGTAAAGACACTACTCACTGGCAAGACTGAGTTCAACACTCAGCACCCGCATGGTAGGAGAGACCAGACCCCTGCAAGTTGTCCTGTGACGTCCACATACACACCAATGGATATACATCACACACACACACACACACACACACACACACAGACACACACACCCCAATTGTAATTTTAAATTAAAAAATTATAATAAACTGAAAACTTCACAATGATGTATATGTCAGTCTTAGCATGTTACAAATTTCTTCAGGGATTCCTCCAGATTCCCCAATAAGAAAGACTTTAGTCTCTAAAAGTGTGTCTGTATTCCAGTGTTACCACCACATACAAGTTATACTGGAAATCCAAAGAGACACGTTTAAGAATGATATAAAAGCAATTTCTCCAGTTCCTTTAACTTAATCATTTTATTTACTTATGATTTTTATTATGTTTGTAAGTGCTATGCAGGTGATCTCCCAAGAAGCTACACTCCCAGCCCGAAAACAGAGTTCTCTTTTTAAATTTTCAAAAGTTTATTAGTTTGTTCTGTTTTATATGTATGGGTGTTTTGCCTGCATGCATGTCTGTAGCCTGAGGAGACCAGAAGAGGGCATCAGACTCCCTGGAACCGGAGTTATAGATGGTTGTGCCTGCCATGTGGGTGCTGGGAATTGAACCCAGATTCTATAGCAGCAGCTGCCCTTATCTGTTCAGCCATCTCTTTAGCCCTAATTTTTTTTTTTTGAAACAGGGTCTCACTATGTAGCCCTGGCTGGCCTGGAGCTCACTATGTAGACAAGGCTGACCTTAAACTCAGAGACTGGCCTGCCTCTGTCTCTGGAGAGCTGAGATTCAAGGCGTGTACCACCACACCTGGCTCAGAATATCTTTTTTTATTTTTTCAAGACAGGGTTTCTCTGTGCAACAGCCCTGGCTGTCCTGGAACTCACTCTGTATCCCAGGCTGGCCTCAAACTCACAGAGATCCGCCTGCCTCTGCCTCCCTAGTACTGGGATTAAAGGCATTCGTCATTAAATCCAGTCATATTTTTTTTTCTTTAAGGATATAGCTTTACTAAGATCCAGCTGTACTGTTCCAGTGGGATCTTCCAGGAAAAACTTCCCCTAAAACAGAATTAAAGAAACAGACTCACATTTGTGTAAAAATGAATCCTATTACAGATAATTAAAGGACCACCAAGTGTGACAACAGGACACAACAGAGAGGCATGGATCTGGAGGTGTAATACCCAGTCCACACGTCTACATTTATTTCTTGGCAGCCTCAGACTAACCACTTCCCCGAGACTCCCAGGCACTGAGCAACAAGAGCTGCAGACCACGGGGTGACAGGGAAGGCCTGGCTGCTCGCCATTCGGCCTCACCAGACGCTTTACTAAGAGAATGACCAGGACCTCCAGCTCACCAGGATGTGGTCAGCAGCTCTCTCATTCCGAAACCCAGAGTCAGTTCAAGCAGAGGTCACTCGGGGGCTACCCGGAGGCTATGCAAATTGAACACCTGGTCAGTCTTTCCCTCTAAGGACAGAAAACTGGACACAGGTGAAGAGGGTAGCTACTGTGCTTTCTGTGAAGAATGTGTTCCTGTGTTTTCGGGGTTTTTTTTGTTTTTTGTTTTTTTTTATGAAAATGCATTGCCACAGCAATGCATCGCCAACTCAAGTCCAAAAAGGTAAAAAGGAAGCCCGGCAGTCTTCACTTACCTCTTTCAGCTGGGTTATCATTCCAAGGACAATCACGTCGCCAACTTTGCTTGTACTACCCAGTAAAGTTTCTATTGTTTTAAGCTAAAATAAAACAGAATAAATCCTTAACGATTATAAGCATATTCTAATTTTCTTACAGATAAGTGAATGCCGAGTACAAGTTTGCTACATATAGCTGCTTTACAACAGGAAGATTAATCTGCAAGTTTAGTTTCCTCCTACAAAAAGCTAAATTTCAAATGTATAATGAACAAAAATGTAACCAAAGAAATCAAATACAGGGATTCATTCCTAAGGATGGAGGAATGCTGTGTCTGAGGCCAGCCTGGACCTCAGTGAGTTCGAGCACAGCCCAGGCTATAAACACACAATCTTAAAACAGAACAAAACAACACAAACACACACACACACACACACACACACACACACACACACACACACACACAGGAGAAGAAATGTATGGTTACCAATGACTAAAGCCTCACAATGCACCTTCGTGGATAGTAAATATTTATTATTTTTGTTTTATTGTGTTTTGTTGTTGTTTGTTTTGGTTTGGTTTTTCGAGACAAGGTTTCTCTGTGTAGTTCTGGCTGTCCTGGAACTCACTCTGGAGACCAGGCTGGCCTCGAACTCAGAGATCAGCCTGCCTCTGCCTTCTGAGTACTAGGATTAAAGGCATGCACCACCACTGCCTGGCTTGTTTGGTTGTTATACAGCCCTAGCTGGCCTGATACTCCTTGTATAGTACAGGCTGGTCTTGAACTGGCAGGAAGCAATCCTCCTGCCCCAGCCTCCCAAGTGCTGGACTCACAAGCATATACCATATAATTTTCGTACTGGGGCAAGGGACATGCATCCATATTGAGTATTGAGGGAGTCCATTCCCTCCTTCACCCTAAGGCATCTAGTCCAGGCCATCAGGCTTGACAGCAAGGGCCTTTACCTGCTGAGCCACCTTGACAGTCTTATTTATCATTTTTTCAATTATTTTTTCACGGTTATATACGTTTGTGTACTGAAGAAAGAGTGTGTCCGGTAGCTGTGGAAGTCAGGGGACACTTTGAGGGAGTTTCTCCTTCCACCATGTAGGTCCCATGGAGCAAACTCTGCTGGGCAAGGTGGTGACAAACACCTTTACCCCCTGGGCCATCTCGCCGGCCCTGTTTTTACTTTTCAAGATAGCCGGCTACGTCGCCAGGGTAGGCTAAAACTCTCAACTCTTCTGCTTTTGCCTTTTCAGTGGCAGATTGGTAGGTATCACTGGCCCACTTTTTTATTTGATGAGTACTACTTAAAACTTAATGAGTCTGGGGAGCTAGACAGCTAGCTGAGCAATTAGGAATATTTACTGATCTTGCAGAAGACCTGGCTTTGGTTCACAACACCCATATGTGGCAGCTCATAACTGCCTGTGACTGCCAGGGGACCTGCTGCCCTCTTTTGGTCACCGTGGGCATTGCACACACATGGTACACATAGACAAGCAGGCAAATAGACAAAGGCATAAAACGTTAAAATTAAAAAAGTTAAAGTGTCGTTCAAAAAATTAATGTTTTTTCAAAATTTATATCCTAATTATATTTAGTATTCCTTAAAGTTGTTATTTATATTCCCAACCTGATAATAATACTTTATATCAGAAAGTCAAAGCTAGGTATGGTGGTACACACCTTTAATACCAGCACTCTGGAGGCAGAGACTGGTAGATCTCTGTGAGTTCGAGGCCAGCCTGGTCCACATAGCAATGTCTGAGCTACACAGACAGATTTTTTTTTTTGTCTCAAAACAAAAAGAAGAAAAGAAAAACATTAAGGAAGTAACAATTAGGTTACCATTTTGTTGTGGTGGTGTAGCCTTAGCTGGCCTGAAACTCACTATGTTGACCAGGCTAGCCTCAGACTCATACAGATTCCCAGTGCTGGGATTAAAGGCATGAAGGAAAGCATATATACTCAGCCTTCTGTATCTATGGACTCTAACCCTGTGGTTTCAACTAATTTTGGCTCAAAAATATTTGAAAACAAGTTGTGTCTATATTGAGCATATACAGATTTTTTTCTTTTCTTAAACCACTATCAGAGATCTGACCTAGGACCTCATGCAGGCTTGTCAAGGGTTCTATCACTGGGTTACATCCCACAACTACATAAGCTTCTTATTCTTGTCATTATCTTCTAACCAAAAACTTATATAGCATTTCCATTGTATTACAAATTGTAAGTTATCTAGGAATGATTAAATATATAGGAGGATGCATAGGCTCTATGTAACTAATATGCCATGTGATAGGAGGACTGGAATTACATTTAAAAAATATCAATGTGAAGCAACACAGTACAAAGACATGATAAAATACTGTTGTTTTTAGAATCAAACCCAGGGCTTTAGATATGCTAGGCAAGCGCTCTATCACTCAGCTCCGCCCCCAGCCCTCCAAATACGTATGAAACACACTATTTTTGTAGTTTATAAAAGGAAATTTCCACTCAGATTCTATAGATAGTCTATTTGGGTTTCTGCTTGCTCTTAAGTGTTGCTTAAATAGGAAACAAACGATCACAGACACAGAACTGAACAGCAAGACTGAAAAGAGCAACACATTATTTAGCCATGTAAGTCTCAAAAGTATTTTGACAAAGAGAAGAGAAAGCATTGCTTCTGGGCCGTGGACAAGCACGCTGACATCAGAAACCTAACACAGCAACACACACAGACTCTGGTAGGGAGATGTGAATCATGTCCATTTCCAAGACGACATAAATTATACTGTAATACAGTTAAGTGCAGAAACTTTCGAATACTACCAGTGTTTTCTCTTTGTGTGCCACCACTGAACATTAATTTTTGTTTTTTGAAACAGAGTCTCATGCAGCCCACGTCGGCTTCAAACTCACGACAGAGCTGAGGATGAGCTTGGATTCCTCGCTCCCCTGTCTCCACCCAAGTGCGAGGATCACAGCCCGCACCACCACACTCTCAAACGTTAGTTTAACCTCATCCAGTATTACTGTTTCAGTCTCTGTTAACAGAGTCCTCAGCACAATGAATTCTGATCCACCAAGGTAAAGAATCTAATGAACACCCAAGAGGTTTCCTCAAAATCCACTGAGACCCTCAGGAAACTGGCAAGGCCCAGACAGAAGAAGCAAGGACTGTCCCTGAGCAGGGTTCCGAGCACTGGTGAGGAGGAGAGAGCTACAGACAGACAGACTGACAGTGGCCAGGCCAGGCCTACAGCAGAACCAAAAATGACAGAACTGTTTGGGAATCACCTCCAAACTCTGACAGCGGAAGGCGCACACAGTCCAGCTCTCCCCCGTTCAAGTTACAACTGCAGGGCCCCTGTGTGTTCTTACACTCACTCTTCCCTGTCTCTTCCGTACACCAGGGGTGGGGGCTCCTGAAGCCAATGCTCCTCTGATACATTACGTTTTCCTTACAATGGATACGGCACGTTTTAGTCTAACAAGTCTGGTGATCAAGAAAGGGTAGGCAACGATCAGTGTTGTGAGTGAGGGCACAAAGGGTAATGAAAAGCTGATCAGAAAACCAGCGCAAGGCTTAGGACTAGTGTTGGTGTGAGGCCAGAGACTATGTGGACGTTTCCCTGGTACCAGGCCTGCTCCAAAGACGAACTAACCTCTACTGGAGAGCTACAGAACCCACAGCATTAGGCATGGCCCTTACCAGCAACAGTCAGGTAGCCATGCCTGCAAGCCAGTTTAACAGGTACACGAGTTTATTTTCATTTAAAATTCAGTGAATTAGCCAGGCATGGGAGGCAGAGGTATATGTATCTGGGGCCAGCCTCTCTACATAGTGAGTTTCAGGCCAGCCAGGGTATATAGTGAGATCTTATCTCAAGCAAAAATTAAAAAAAAAAAAAAAAAAAAAAAATCAATAAATTAAAAGTAGCGAGCCAGGCAGGATGGCTCACTGGAGAAAAATACTTGCCACCAAGTCTAATGTCCTGAGTTCAATGCCCAGGTTACACAAGGTGGGACAAAGACCCAGCTCCTGCAAGTTCTCCTGTGACTTCCATGTGGGCCACAGCCCACGAGCACACATCAAAATAAGTGTACAAAAAAGTAGCAATAAACATTACACTTGTATCACTATAATACAGCTCCTAAATAATTAAGACAATGCTCAAACCTGGAATTTGCTCCCGCTTTCCTCGGGGTGTGAGCCTATCACCGGAGGGGTAAACAATTCATGTCTGTGTGTCCTCTGTAAGAAAGAGAGAGCCTTATGAATCACTGAACTGGACATTTAAAGGAAAGAGTCATTAAAACACCAAAGACAAAACAGTGTCCCTAAGCTGTTACTGTTGCTTCTTCTCATCACATTTGAAAACCTGTATTAGTTTAACAGCATGCAAACACCTAGCAATTCCCCCACTACAAACCCAGGGCCCTGCACCAGCTAGGCATCTCTACCACTGAGCTAAATCCCCAACCCCTACAGAGAGAGAGAGAGAGAGAGAGAGAGAGAGAGAGAGAGAGAGAGAGAGAGAGAGAGAAAGCCTCCTGTGGTAGTTTGAAAGACCCCCAAAGGGAGTGGCACTATTAGAAGGTGTGGTTTTTTTGAAGTAGGTATGACCTTGTTGAAGGAAGTGTGTCACTGTGTAGACAGGCCTAGAGTTCTCATATACGCTCAAGCCATGCCCCGTGTCTCAGACCACTTCCAGTTGCCTGCGAATCAAGATGTAAGAACTCTCACCTACCTCTCTAGCACCACATCTGCCTGCATGCTGCCTTGCTTCCCACCATGATAATAACAAATTAACCTCTGAAACTAGCCAGGCGGGGGTGGCGCATGCCTTTAATCCCAGCCCTCGGGAGGCAGAGGCAGGCGGATCTCTGTGAGTTCGAGGCCAGCCTGGTCGGCAGAGCAAGATCCAGGACAGGCACCAGAACTACACAGAGAAACCCTGTCTCAAAAAACAACAACAACAAAAAAACAAAAACAAACAACAACAACAACAAAAACCCTCTGAAACTGTAAGTGAGCCACCTCAATTAAATGTTTTCTTTGTAAGAGTTGCTGTGGTCATGGTGTCTCTTCACAGCAATAGAAACCCTAACTCAGACACCACCATACAACACAGTACTGTAAGGACTGGCTGTACACCAGGCCAAAGAGACGATTTAACAAGACCCAAATGAGGGAATGCTGAAGGAAGAAAAAGAGGGTGATAACAAGAAACTTTAGGCTGAGAAATTGGGGTATCCAAAGGAAGAATGCTGTGGGAAGCTCTGCATTAGTTAACTCTCTCATCCACTGCTGCAACCCAATGTCTGACAAAAAGAACCTTCAGGGAGGGAGGGCTTTACTCGGCTCACGGTTGAGGACCGCGGTTGAGAACCTCGGTTGAGAACCGCGGCCCATGCTAACCATGAAGAGGTGCAGGGGAAATACCAGGCTCCGCTGCTCAGCTTGCTTCCTTCTTTCCTTTGTATTTAGTCCAGTGGATGGTGCTGTCCACACTGGAGTAGAGGAGGATAAATCCCTGACCCCACCCCCACCCCAACCGCCCTCACAAACACACCCGATGGCATTCATAAGCATTTCTTGATCCAGTTAGGCTTACAATCAAAATTCACCACCAGTCTACAGTCAAGTCACCAGGAAAGAACCCAAGCTTGTCAGAATTAACTACCACCCGATACAGAGCTCAGTGTGAGCGTGCACAAGGTGGACTGTTGGATGAGGGACAGCAATTATTTAGGGAACTGTTTCTCTGCTCCCATCAGCTCATGCACTTTGGGCAGGCTGCTGCCCCTTTCCCCTTCTGAAGACAGACAGCCCAGGCCTAAAAGATGAAAGCCGAGACGTGGACTGAAGAAAGGATGAGCAAGTGCATCAAGCTAGGCTGATAAGAGATACAGTGAAGACTTCTGCAGGACTACAGGAAAGGAGGGCTCTTTCTGACAGTTGCTATGGCTACTAGTGGCCATTTTTGTTATTCCATAAGGAGAATTTATTTGAAAGGATAATTTTTTGTTTGTTTGTTTGTTTTTTGGTTTTTGTTTTGTTTTGTTTTGTTTTGCAAAAAGGATATACTAGGACCTAAACCTGGCCAACACATCAGGGCCAACATGGCACCCATCTTTTGTCCCCAGCACAAGTGGTGGCAAGGTCTAATAAAAGGATAATTTAAAAAGAAAAGAAAAGAAAAAGCTGAGATACAAAAAAGACAGGTGCCTCGTGATGGTGGATGAGCACCTGGATCCAGCCAGGCTTGAAACCACAGACCTCCAGCCTTCCTGGTAATACAGGCCACACTAACAGTTGTTCTTTGGTTTTAGTCACCGTGAGTTTCTCACAATCTTAAGACGGCTTACAGAAGAGTTGAGGATGTGGTACAGTGCTTGCTTAGCACCCACACAGCTCTGGGTTCCATCCCTGGCACCACAGAAAAGTTGGCCACAGTGGGACATGCCTGGATCTCTTGAGGCAGAAGCAGGAGGCTCAAAAGTTCAAGGCCACCCTACATAGTGAGTTTGGGACTAGCCTGAGACCCTCTCTGAAAAATATTCTGAAGCAGAAAGATGACAAAATCAAATGTATTTCCAGGAAAGTAAACACACAATGAAAATGTGAATGGACTCCATTCATCTCCTCTGTCTCACAATCGAGGAACACGAAAGGCAAGGCCAAGTGACAGTACCGTAGACTGAAACAGACGAGGAGGGTCTGGGAATGGTTGCACATGCCTCTAATATCAACACTCAGGACCGAGGCAGGAAGGTCTTGAGTTAGTTTGAGGTCAACCGAGGCTACACAGCGAACCTCAGCCCAACCTTCCTTACACCACAAAAGCACATTTCAGGCACAGAAACGAGAGAGAGAGAGAGAGAGAGAGAGAGAGAGAGAGAGAGAGAGAGAGAGAGAGAGAGAGAGAGAGTTGTTAATAGATTGGTAAAAAGCACTACGACAAATGCTGCGGAGTTAAAAACCAAGGACCCCGTGGTATGGAAAGAGTGTGGAGCAGGATGACTGCAAGGCAAGGCCCACTGAGTAAGTTACACAGAAGACACGCAGCTCAATGGGCTTGAACAAGGAACACACCGCATCCAACCGGAGATCGAGAAAGGCTTTGAATGGCAAGACGTTTCATGTTCATGGGCCAGCAGAATTAACATTGTGAAAATGGTTATATTACCAAAAACAACCTATAGATTCAATATAATCCCCATCAAAATTCCAGTGGCATTCTGCATAGAAACATAATAAATAAATAAATAAAACCTATGATTGTTCCGAAAGCACAAAAACTCTGAATAGCAAAAGCAATCCTGAGCAAGAACAATACTGAAGGCGTCACAACAACCGGGTTCAAGCTATGCTACAGAGCTATACTAACAAAACCTGCATGGCATTGGGTCAAAAACAGACATGCCAATCAATGCAACAGAACCTGGGACCTAGAAATAAGCCCATGCGGCTACAGACACCTAATTTTCAAAAGGTGCCAGAAATATACCTCGGGGAAATGAAGCCTCTCTGGCAAATGGTCCCGGGAAACTGGGTATCCACACAGAGGGTGAAACCGATTCATCTCTCTCATCCTGTACAGAAGTCAGTTCACAATACATCAAAGACCTTAATCTAAGAACCAAGCCTTTGAAACTACTACAGGGAAACAGAAAAAACACTTCTAGACATAGACAGAGGCAACAACTTTCTGAATAGGACATCTCTAGCTCAGGTTATAATAACCAAATCTAAGTAATAGGACTGCATCAAAATAAAAGGCTTTGGCAGGGGCTTGAGAGATGGCCCAGTGAGTATGCAGCTGCAGAAGCAAGGGGACCTGAGTTCAGATCCCCAGCACCCACTTGAAAAGCTCGGTGTGGCTGTGCACACCTCGAACCCCAACGCTGGGGAAGTGAGGAGAAGGGAGTCAGGGAGACCACTGGGACATGCTGGCCACCACCCAGCTGAAAAGCAGCAAGCTCCAGGTTCAGTGAGAGACACTGGACAGAGAATAAGACAGAGTGACAGAGGAGGACACTGAGTGTTCCCACTGGGTTCTGTACTTAAGTGCATGGGCACACACCCTACGCATGTCCACACATGTATACAACACATACACACACACACACACACACACACACACACACACACACACACACACACACACAGAGCTTTGAGACAGCAAAGGAAATAATTACCAGAATGAAGAGACAGTCTACAGAACGGGAGAAAATATTTGCCATTAATAACAGAATACATAAGGAGCTCAAAAAGAACAAATAATTCAGTCAATAAATGGACAAATGAATTGAACAAATGTTTCTGAAAAGAAGAAACACAAATGACCAATACGGCTCATGCCTGTAATCTCAGCACTTGGCAAGCTGAAGCGGGAGGATGAAAAGTGTGAGGAAGTCTGAGCAAACTCAGTGAGTTCCAGGTCAGCCTGAGCTACAGAGGGGGAATTGGCCCGGTACATCCACAGGGGCTGTGGAGATGGCTCAGTCATGGAAGTGACTGCAGGTGCAATCCGGAGGACCTGAGTGTAGATCCTCAGCATTCACTTAAAAAGTGGGTGTGACAGTGTACGTCTGTAACCCCAGAGCTGGGTGGGGGGCACAGGTGGGTCCCTAGACAGCCAGTCTAGCCAATTCATGAGTGTTGGGTTCAGTGAGTCACTGTCTAAAAAAAAGTCAGGTGGAGAACAATAGATAAGGCTATCTGATCTCTGGTCTACACATATGCACTACACACACACATGAGAGAGGAGAGAGAGAGAGAGAGAGAGAGAGAGAGAGAGAGAGAGAAACATACAAACAAACAAAAAATACATTTAAAAATGTCTAACATCCAACAGGCAGTGGTGGCGCACGCCTTTAATCCCAGCACTTGGGAGGCAGAGGCAGGTGGATCTCTGTGAGTTCAAGGCCAGCCTGGTCTACAGAGCGAGTTCTAATATACAGAGAAACCCTGTCTTGGCAGGGGAGGGGGAAATATATATATATATATATATATATATATATATATATATATATATATATATATATATATATATATATATATATCTCCAAAAACGAAAAAAAAAAGGTCCAACATCCTAAACCATACAAGTGATGCAAGTCAAGAGCCGGCAAGACGGCGAGGTGGGTAGAGGCACCTGCAGCTCAAGCCTGACGGCCTGAGTTCAATCCCCAGAACCCATGGAAAGGTGGGAGGGAGAACCCACTCCAAAGACTTGTCTATGGCTTCCACAAAAGGGCCATGACACATGTGCTCCCCCAAACATCATATACACACATATAACAAGAAATAAAAAAATTCCAAAGAAGAAAGGTAAAACTACACTGAGGTTGTATCTCACCCCAGACAGATAGGCTGTCAAGAAAACAACAGGGAAGGAGAGATGACCTCATGGTTCAGAGTGCTTCCTGCTCTTCCAGAGGACCTGAGTTTGGGTCCCAGCACTCACACAGGTGGCTTAAAATTTCCTCTAGGCCAGCCTGGTCTGCAGAGCGAGATCCAGGAAAGGCGCAAAGCTACACAGAGAAACCCTGTCTCGAAAAACCAAAAACCAAACAAACAAACAAACAAAAACTTCCTCTAACACCTGCTCCAGGGGATCCAACACCGTCTTCTGGCCTCTGAGAGTACCTGCATACATGTGGCAGACACCCACAGAGAGACACACATACACATAAATAAAAATCTTTTAAAGAAGGAAACAACCAATTTTAGTGATAATGCCGGATGGGAGGAGGGGATGCGTGGACACAACCCTCATTCCTCGAGGGCAGGAGTGTCAATCAATCCAGCAACCGTGGAAACCAGTGTGGAAGCTTGACAAAAGTAAACTAGCACAGGGTGGGGCTGTAGCTCAGTGTGAAAGCATGCCGCGCTTGGTGCATGCTGGGTCTGCCACACACACACACACACACACACACACACACACACGCACACACACTCACACACACACACACACACTCACACATAGACACTCACACATACACACACACAAACAAACACACACACACACATACACACTCACACATACACTCTCACACACACATACACACACTCAGATGATCATGCCGTGTGACTCCCGGTATACACTGGAAGGAAGCCACGTCAGCATACACACACACGGAATATTATTCAGCCACAAAGAACAAATTCATTTTCAGGAGAGTGGACAGAGCTGGAGACCATCCTATGCAAAAGAAGCCAGATCAAACAGGCCGAGTAAACAATAGTGTTTGCTCACATGCAGAATCTAGACTAAAAAAAAAAGACATGAAAGTCGACAAGGGACCATGAAGGGGAAGACAAGAGAGACTGATGGGGACAAATATGATCGAAGTACATGTCATCTGAAACCCAGTATTTCATAAAATAATTAAAAAAGAAGAGAAGCTTCAGGATGGCGGGATCTGAGAGGGCCCTTCCAAAACTGGGAATTTCACAGCGGGTTTCAGAAGCGGGAAGCACAGCCCAGCTTAGGCTAAGTGGCGGAAATAAGAGTTGGAAAGTACAGACGAGGCCAACAGCATGGGGTGGAAGGTCTCGGCCCTCAGGAGCAGCAGCACCCGTCCTCTACAGACTTCCACGCAAAACCATGACAGGGGCAGAGCTGCAGCTCAGGGTGAGGACAGGTATCCTCAGACCTCACCTCTTCATCCTCATTCTCACACCTGCAATGCCTGCCACCGCCCCACCCCCCAGCCCTGTGCTCCAGCCCCGCGGCACCATCCCAGCCCGCCCAGACCCTCACCTCTTGCCTTTCTTCTTCTACCCTCCTTTCTCTCAGGCCTTCTCCTCACACCCCAGGGCTTCACTCACTGCAGATGCCTCCTAAGCCCTTCTCAGCAATCCAGCCCTTGCCCCACGGACCTCATCTGCATTTATGTATCTCCTCCTCCTGACAACCCTAACTCCGATGCTTGAAACAGAATCTGACATAATCCCCCCAATAAACCTTCCTTGTGTTAATGGATTAGCAGTATCCCGTTGCACTCTGAGGTTCAAAACCCTGCTCATCTTTTTTGTGGTGCTGGGCATTGATCCTAGGGTCTCATACATGCTAGGCAAGCCCTGTACCACTGAGCTGTATCCATAGGCTTTCTTGCTTTGTCTTTTGACACAGGGTCTCGTTAAGTTGCCCAGGCTACTACTGAACTCACTCTAGTTTATGTAGACTTTGAACTTGTAATCTTCCTGGTTCAGCCTCCCATGTAGCTGGGATTGCAGGCAACTCACTTCCACACTACCCCCCTTGCTCACCATTTCCTGTACAAAGTCCATTTTCCCTTGCTCGGTCCTTGTTCAGTGTTACCATGCATGTCCACAAGAACCATGTGAAACGCCAGTGTCCGTGAAGCCCTGCTTGGTTCTATCTTTTAGAGCGCATAATAAAGTTCTACTTTCCTTGAAGGGAATATAGCAGGCTTTGGACAAATTAGACAGGCTAGGTCTGAATCCTATCCCAACTCTCTACATGTGACCTTTGGCAAAGTTATGAAACCTCTCCAGCCTTCAGCTTCCTCATCTGTAAAATAGGAATAATGCTAGCATTCATGAATCTATTCCTGTTAGTGGATCAAATGTGGTAAATAATGCATGCAAAGTACTGCACAATACTTGAAATCTCAATATCAGGTATTAAGTGCTGGCCACTCTCTTTAACATCATTATTAAAGGGAAATGTACTTCATATCTCTGTGTTCTCAATAGGGCATCAATCAGAAAGCCCATTAACAGTCTACAGAATGACTTTTTTTTTGGACAGGGTCCTACTATAAAGCCCCAATGGTCTGGAAATCACTGTTTACACCAAGCTGGCCTCAAACTTGCAGCAATCCTCCTGCCTCTGCAATCTCAAGTACTGGAATTATGAACATGAGCCACCAAACCTAGCCTTGAATAACCAACTTTAATCTACAAAACTGCATCCTTTAAACATCCTTGAGATTTCCCAAAGCTCTTTTTTCTCCCCAATTTATTGGTGTTCCTCCACTCCCAACTTACCTGGTGTAAAATAGTATATCGTTCACGATACAGCTCGGCTTTATCTCTTGCTGTTCCAAATAAGGTTGGTGCAGCATGATTAGTCATTGATAGACTAGAAAAAAAGGGATGTCATTAAAAAAAAATATATAGATAGATATACACTTTACATACACAATATACAAACACACACACACACACACAAAATATTAACACAAAGGTTGACCAAAAGTCAAACATAAAACTATATACTTTGTGAAAAAATATACAACTGAAATTAATCAATAAACAGAAAGATGGCCCAGTGGATAAGAGCACTTGTTGCTCTTGCAGAGGTCCTAAGTTCAATTCTCAGTACCCACATGGAAACTAAAAACTGTCTGTAGCTCCAGCTTCAGGAGATCCAGCACCCTCTTCTGAACTCCACGGACACCAGGCACACATATGGTACACACTCATACATGTAAAATAAATAAATCTTTAAAAAATTTAAATCAATAAATGATACATGGTATACTTACGGAAGAAATTTTTTTCTTTCTGAATTGTACAAAAAATGTGGAATATCAAAAGCTCCAATGATATTGAAAATATGCTCTCTGAAAAACAACCCATAAAACACAGATCCAACTTACTAAAATGCAAGTATTATAGATCAACACTAATAATTCACATTATAAGCTTTTGCACATTTTCTTCAAGCCATGTACCAATTTTTTCAGAGAGCCACAAATAAGAGGATAAAGTTTTTAGCTTGTACATTCTACTTTCAAGAGATACGAAGGTCACAGGTGTGATAGTGCCCCCCCATAACCCATGCACTAGGAAGGCAGAGCCTAGGCTATATTATAAGACCTGTCTTAAACAAACCACCAAACAGTAAATTACACTTTTGATGTTCAATTTAATTCATTCACAGCACACAGACTATTAAATAGACTGGGAACACAGCATGTCAGTAATAAACAAATACTATAATCTCACTAGAAAAAAATAGTAAAGACAAATTATTTAGTAATAAAATTTATAATGTAGGCCATCACTTCAGATGAAGTAAATAAGGGCAGTTTCTACTGTAGAGTTATTGATCACTAACTTTTTTCCCATGAAAAGGCACTGAGTAACCATCCCACAGGAAAATGTAGTTTTACCCACATACATGGTCTCATCCACCGACTGGCTGCACTCCTGGACCGCTGTTTCCACTACGGATCGTTCGATCATGTTTGATGACACTGAGAAAGGAAGTTCAAAGTCCAAATTTCAAACAGGGATAGAGACTCAGGGAAGGCAGCACCCACCTAGAAGCCTAGCACTTGGGAATTGGAAGCAGGAGGAACAGGAGTTCAAGGCTATTCTGGGCCACAAAGAGAATCTGAGGCCAACCTGGGCTACATGAGACCTTGGCTATAGCAGCACACAGCAGTAATCAGAGCACTTTTGAGGCACACACACACACACACACACACACACACACACACTCAATATACCCATTTCTTATTGATGGTAGAGCAACTTTGAATATCAGCCCAAGAACAGAGCTAAAACAGTTTAGAAAGCAACACAAACTTAGGCCTGATCAGAAAGTGAGTATCCTTGATCACTCTGTTTTCAGGCAAAATACCATATGCCATTAGATATTGATATATGATTAGGAGGTGTGGCTTTGTTGGAGTGGGTACGGCCTTGTTGGAGGAAGTGTGTCACTGTGGGGGCGGGCTTTGAGGTTTCCTATGCTCAGGACACCACCCAGTGAGTCAGTAGACTTCCTGTTGCCTGAAAGACGTAGGACTCTCAGCTATTCCTCCAGCACCACATCTGCCTGCACGCCGCCATGCTCCCCACCATGATGATAATGGACTGAACCTCTAAACTGTAAGAGAATCCCCTCCATTAAATGTTTTCCTCATAAGAGGTGCCATGGACATGGTATCTCTTCACAGAAGCAACAGAAACCTTAACTAAGACATAGAGTGTGTTTAAAATCCTGCCTTTAGAAGCAAAGAGAGAACAAATTCTCTCCTGTATTAAGTAGAAAGAGATGAGAGGGGTAAAATTCCTACCCTGTGGGCAGTAGAAACATTGGAGCATCTCTCCTTTTTCGGCCGGTGTCTCTGGTAGCAGTTGAAGTATTTAATCCAATAGACCAGGAAAGTTAGGCCTTCTCACTTTTCTCTTTTCCCCCCAAACACTTACGAGTATCTAACTTAATAAGACACAGTCACAGGTGTGCAGAGAGAAATAAGTGACCATTAAGGATCAGATCAGTGACATGATTCAGTAGATAAAGACATTTGCCACAGAACTCTGATGACATGAGTTTGGTCCTCAGAACCACATGGTAGAAGGACAGAACCCACTCCAAAGTTGCCCTCTGACCTCCACATACATACTGTGGCATAGGTACACATGCACACATGCAAAATGATAATAATAATAATAATAACAACAATGTAATTCTTTGAAGGACATGATCAAATTCAAGAGTTAAACACAGAAAAGAGGCTATGGTAATTCTACCTCCCCAAGGGGATTAGCAACTACAAAAGGGCCCTTAAGGAATAGAATATCCTAAGGTTACAATCTTTGGGAAAAGATACTGTGATGTGTATATCTCAGAACTCTGGAATATCTTAGTGAATGGAGCCTCACTTCCCATTTCAATCGAAATCTGAGGACACAAAGCTATAGCAATCTAGAAATCATCAGCAAATGTTACTTACAGGGCTGCTTTTCAACTGCATCGATGATCTTTTCTAGGGTCTCTTCAAGCTCTAATTCAGTGACAGACTGAAGAGCTTCAGTGAGAAACTTGGTGGCTTCACTAGTGAGAGAAAGAAGAGGCCAAGAATTCTCCAACATTCAGAAACTGCCCATTCATTCCTCCCTTCAAGAGGTTCTCATTTTGCCTATAGTTTCTGAACAAAACTATCCTTCTACCCTGGCTAAAAAACTGGTTTTGTTGTTTTGATTTTGGATTTTAGGTTTGGTTTTGTTTCTTTGTGTAGCCCTGGCTGTCCTGGAACTTGCTCTGTAGACCAGGCTGGTCCTGAACTCACAGAGGTCTATCTACCTCTGCCTCCCAAGTGCTGGGATTATAGGCATGCGCCACCACTGCCTAATAAAACTGTTTTGTTTGGTGGTAGTGGTCGAAGCAAACTGTTATTTAAACCTTATAAAACTCAAACTTTATAAAAAGTCAATGTAACTAAAACCTCAGCTCTCCCACTAAAGCCTGAAGTATCAAGGCTTGAAACAGCTAATTCAAAACTAAGCAAACAATTAAAATAACAACAAATCCCTGCAAGCAGATCATGCTAAATTACCTTTAAAAAAATCTAAATGAACTGGATACCCTGGACATCTGAGATGAACCCATGTTGACCAGAGTGTATGAGACCCAAAGCAGAAACCTGAACTCTAGTCTCATCTGGATTCCTGGCCCACAGAAAATGTAGGCTAAAACGTGAGGGTAGTTTTAGTTTCTAAACCATAGGGTAATCTGTTACATGGCAATAGATAACTAACACACTATCGTCCCACAGTAAAGCTCCATGGTGGTTAATTCTCTCACGGTGTTTGAAACTAAAGCATTTGAATGTATGTCTCACTGAATCGTTCAATGAGCTTCTAACAGCTTAAGAATAGTTCATTTTCGGTGAAAGGAAAGAAGAGTTAATTGATCAATTACTCTTTTCAAACGTAAGAAATTAATGGAACTAAATCCATCACTTTCTCCCAGGTTGACCCTTGGGCACTACTAGGCAAAACGTAAAGTTAAAAGTTCCATAAAGCTCACGGTTATGAAAACAAAACAACTGCATGACTCAAAAACGTATAGCTAGTGTTGGCATTCTGGCCCGGCCCCTTGGGGACCCGATACACAAGCTCAGCGGGTACTTAAAACGTGTATTATAAAATGTAAAGATAATGTAATTACTCGAGCTCTTGAGATGTTCATTCTACAGGACTAAAAATGGCACACTACAGCCAGAAAGCTGCCTTTTGGGCAAATTGAAAACTAGGAAATCTACCCCAAAAAAAACCCAAAACCAAAAATCTATCCGGTTTTTAGTTCTCCAGGCAATAATGAGAATCCAAAACGGAGACGGGTGGGTGGGAGGCTCACAGTCTGCAACATAAATCGCCACCAGACACGCAGACGGATTTCCCCAGTCCCTCTCCTTTGACGGGTCTCTCTGTAATTTCCCGAAGTAACACTGTAACGATTTGCATCCCGCAGAGGCGGGGACCTCCGGGGATCTGAGGACCTCGAACCTGGCATCTTCCCGGGCTCAGGAGGGCCCCCGGCGGCGCAGCTCCGCCCAGCCGGGAAGTAACATTTGCACCCCGCGAAAGCGTCGCGGAAACCCGGGGAGGCTCTGCAGCCAACCATGCGCCAGGCCGACCTCTCCTCTTACAACGGAATAGTCTAAGGGTCTCTGCACGCCCGGGGCACTGCGGCGGGACAGCTTGTCTCGCGACTCACCCTCTGAGCAGCAAGCCGCGAAGCTTGAAAGCTGACACAGCGCGGCTCCGCAGCCGCTCCGGCGCCATGTTCGCGATTTGGCGCCACCGCCGGGACCCCGCCCCTCCTGGACCAGACACGCCCATTGCCCCGCCCCCGCTGGTGCGCCCCGCCCCCAGGTTCTTGGACTAGTGAGTTGGGTTTTTTGTCTCTCTACACACTGCAAGGGCTCTGGGAATCTCAGATCCTAATCCTGAAGCAGGAAGCCATCGGCGCGCCCGCCATGCCTGGGGAGTGAAGCAAGAGTGATCTAAATAGGAACAAGCTTTCTTTATCCCAAGTCCATTTTGAACACTCAGCTCCGTCACTTTCAGCTACCCTCTCTACCTTCCACCTTCTCTGACTCTGTCCAAGCTTCCTGCACCCAGGATCTTCCCTTCCAAGGCTGTGAGAGGTGCAGGGCCTTCCTGTTTACCGGTTCTACACAAGCCCTGGGAAATACTGACTCTTCACTGTTTCCCCCAGCAGGTACTCTCTCCACCACCCCCATCCAACCAGCATTTTAGTTGAGGGCCTTTTGACAATGCGCTGTCATTAGCAATTTAAATGTATTAATGGATGTGTTTCACACATTAATTAGCAGTGTCCCACTTTTTCCACGACAGACTTTTTTTTTAAAGATGGATAAACAAACCAAAGATTATAAATGGCTGGCTTGAGGTGAACTGTCCAACAAGCAGACTCAGTAGGCCATATTTTAAAATGTTTGTTCTTGCTGAGTGTGGTGGCACATGCCTTTATCCCAGGACTCAGATGGCAGAGGCAGGCAAATTTCTGTGAGTTCTGGGGTAACTTGTTCTATCTACATAGTGAGTTCCAGGCCAGTCAATGATACACATTGAGACCTTATATAAAAATAAATAAATAATAAAATGCTTGCCCCGGCAAAATGAATACCATGGAGTGCTTAGAAGTGAGCATGCAACTTTATGGGACGCAAGGACATGCTGGGCATGATGTCACAGGTCAGTAATTCTAGTACTAAGAAGGAGATGTAAGGATCAGGAGTTAAAGGCCAGCTTCGATGTCATAGCAAGTTCAAAACAAGCCTAGGATACGTGAGAGTTAGTGAGAGGAGGGAGGATTTCTAAGGAGGTGTATGCATGCAATTATCTCTAGGGCATTTAGTTAAGATCTTTTTTTTTTTTTTTTTTTTTTTTTTTGGTTTTTCGAGACAGGGTCTCTCTGTGTAGCTTTGCGCCTTTCCTGGAACTCACTTGGTAGCCCAGGCTGGCCTCGAACTCACAGAGATCTGCCTGGCTCTGCCTCCCGAGTGCTGGGATTAAAGGCGTGCGCCACCACCGCCTGGCAAGATCTTTTTTAAAGGGGCTGGAGAGATGGCTCAGCAGTTAAGAGCACTGGCTGTTCTTCCAGAGGTCCTGAGTTCAATTCCCAGCAATGACATGGTGGCTCACAACCATCTGGTGTCCTCTTCTGGTGTGCAGGTATACATGCAGACAGAGCGCTGTATACATAATAAATAAATAAATCTTTTTTAAAAAATCTTTTTAAAAAGCATATGTATATTTGCTTGATTTTTACATTTTAAAACTTTTAGCCAGGTGGTGGTGCATGCCTTGAATGCCAGGGAGGCAGAGGCAGGTAGATCTCTGTGAATTCAAGGCCGGCCTGGGCTACAGGGCCAAGGCTACACAGATAAAGCCTTTCTTGAAAAACAAAAGAACCAAACCAAAACAACAACAACAAAAACTTTTGAAAAGTTAAACTAGACAAAAAGTGAGAGATCCCAGCTGTGGTGCTTTGAATGAGAAATATCCCCCATGGGCTCAGGCATGAGAACACTTGGTTCCCAGTTGGTGGCGCTGTTTGGGGAGGGTTAGGTGGTGCGGCCTTGCTGAAGGAGGTGTGTCCCGAGGCTTTGAGACTATGTAGCTTCGCCCTACTTTCGGTTCTCTTTCTCTCAGTGCTTGCCTTTGGAGCTCCCAGCTTCCTGTTTCTGCCGTTGTTGGCATGCCTGCTTGCCTTGACTCGGTGGGTAAAAGTGGTTGCCCTGCAAGCCTGAGGACCTGGGTTCTAATCCGCAGAGCCTACATAAATCCAGGTGTGGTGGCGAGAGTCTGTAATCCCAGCATTCCTGCAGCCAAATAGGAGGTGGAGACAGTAGGATCTCTGGAAGCTCATGGGCCAGCCACAGTGAACAACTAAGAGACCCTGTCTGAAACGGGGTTGAAAGACAAGGACGGACACTCCAGTTTGTCTTCTGACCTCAACATGCATGCTGTGGTGGCACACACGTGGATGCATACATGGATACATCACACACACACACACACCTGAAAAATTAAAAGAATTAAACTTGTCCTGGGGTGGCAATTACGCCCCACCTCTCCCAGAACTATGCTATATACATTTCTCCACTGCAAGAGAACATTCTGGGGGTGAATGTATTACTGGGACACACCCTGCATGCCAGCATTGGAGTTTTACTGAGAGTACAAACTGTAAAGGCAGTCACAGTGGTCAGTTGAGACAGGAGCCTGTGAAGTTGCCTGTCTTGATGAGGTCTATGACTATGAAATCACAAACTCCTTTATGAAGTTAGACAGGGTAGAGAGAACGTGCCCTGTCGACAGCCGGAGGGAGGCTGTGAAATGGCAAGACGGCTCCTGGAAAGTGAGAGCGACTTACAGGAAGTTGGATGCATGTGGCCATTGTACCCCACGTCACTCTTCTGACAGAGCAGTTCATATGTGATGGGATCTCTCTAAGTCGTACTTGACCTTGCTAAATGCCTTTTCAGTGGTCCTTTAGCATGTGGATGCCAAGACCAACTCACACTCACTGTTAGGAAGGACATTACACCTTCAGAGACCTCCACCAAGGTTACCGCCACAGGTTCTACCCCAGGAACAGTAAAGACAGGTTACCAAAGTATAGAGATATGGGATGGTGACCCAGGACCTTGCTTTGTTGTTTGGCCTATTTTTCTAAAAGGGGTTCATTATGTAGATGAAGTGATGCAAAACTGAGTATTTTTTCAGATATAGAAAAGCATCTGAGGGCTGGGGAGATGACTCAGTTGATAAAGTGCCTGCCATGTGAACATGAGGAGCTGAGTTCAGATCTCTAGCACCCACATAAAACTCGGACATGGGGTCAGGCAGTGGTGGTGCATGCCTTTAATCCCAGTACTGGGGAGGCAGAGGCAGGTGGATCTCTGAGTTCGAGGCCAGCCTGGTCTACAGAGTAAGTTCCAGGACAGCCAGGGCTACACAGAGAAATCCTGTCTTGGGTGAAAAAAAAAAAAAGGTAGACATGGAGGCCTGCCTGTAGTTTTAACACTGGGAGTCGGGCAGAGACAGATGGATTCCCAGAACTTACTGGTCACCCAGTCTAGCCAATTGATGAGCTCTGGGTTCAGTGAGAAGCTGTGTCTCAAAAAATAAGGGGCAGGGCAGTAAAGGAAGACACTCAACATCAACCTCTACACACACACACACACACACACACACACACACACACACACACACACACTCACACACTCACGCACGCATATTTGCCTGTACACACTATATACATACAAAAATTTAAAAAGTATTACAAAGAAAGGCATCTGAAAGACCAGGTGTACCTAAAGAATGAGGATGAGGGTTGGTGGTGCACCCCTTTAATTCCAGCAGAGGCAGGTGGATTTCTGTGAGTTTGAGGCCAGCCTGGTCTATATAACAGGTTTCAGGATGGCTAGAGCTATGTAACAGCAAGACCCTGTTTAAAAACCAATTAAAAAAGAGGACAGGAGGTCGTTCCACATTATGTGCACTGGGCAAGTACAGTTATACAATTCTTAGGAGGATTATGGCCTGGTAAGAAACATATGACCCCAGACAAAGTTATTAAGAAAATCATAAATAGTCAGAACTTGTGAATGTAAAACAGGTGCAGGTATTTGCAGAGCTCCGAGGCCATTGATATGTATTATTTTTCTTTTTTGTTATTCAAGATAGAGTTTCTCTGTGTAGCCCTGACTGTCCTGGAACTCGCTCTATAGACCAGGCTGGCCTCGAACTCAGAGATCCACTTGACTCTGCCTCCTTAGTTCTGGGATTAAAGGTGTGTGCCACCACTGCCCGGTCCATTGATTTACTTTTCATACCCCACTTCACCCAAGTTATCCATCCTTTTAATAACATGATAAAAAGGGGAAGGGGTTCCCTGTAGGGCTGAGATAGAAAGACTCAAGAAGCTTTGATCAGGCTAAGATTCTCTAAAACAAGCAAAATAGGCGTGTGCCCCATTACATCAGTGTCCCTTCATGTTAGAAGTTGCCCCAAGCTCAGAGGGTGATAACTGGAAGTTACGGCAAAACCAACCTGATTAGTAAGCAAACAGTTCCTATGGTGTTTTGGTCCTCATCACGGGAAGGGGAAAAAGCTGGCATATATTCCTAGGTTAGAATTGGGAGTTGTTTGTAAAAGCATTGTAACAGGACAACTCCATCACAGGTACCCCCTCACTAATACTAAGGACAGATTGCCAAAGCTCAGGTTGGATTGAAGGCCTTCGAGGCCTCTTTCTGGGGTGGCGCAGAATCAGACTTTCAAAAGTGGCATGCTCAGTCACAACCATGAGGTGTGGTGTCTGCCGGCCCCACCATGAATGCCACGAGGCTGTGCTGGGACCAGTGTCCTTTCAAGCCAGGGGACCTCCACCAGTAACTGAACCAACAACCAAGCCAGGAAGGGACCCTCCTTATCTCTGTTAATGCCTGGCATATGAACGACATGGTGAGGGCACCAGACAAGAATGGGTGGCTGCAGCAATACCAATAAAGACGGCTATCATGTGCGTGGAGAGCAGAGAAGGAAAGAGTAGCCAGTGACTAACAGTAGTATTGTGTCTTTGTTACTGTTCTGTTGCTGTGAAGAGACGCTATGACCAAGGCAACTCTTAAAAAGGAAGCATTTAATTGGAGGCTTGCTTACAGTTTTAGAGTCCATGCTCATCGTGGCAGAAAGCTGACAGGCATGGCTCTGGGGAAGTAGCTGAGAGCTTTACATCCTGATCTGCAGGCAGTAGGCAGAGAGAGTGACACTGGTGTGGGCTTTTGAAGCCTCAAAGCCAAATTTCCAGTGACACACCTCCAACAAGGCCATGCCTCCTGATCCTTTCTGCTGTGGGATGGTCTGTAAGCCACGAGCCATGTGGCAGGGTATAGATTAATGGAAATGGATTAATTTAAGCTGTAAGAACAGTTAGCAAGAAGCCTGCCACGGCCATACGGTTTGTAACCAATATAAGTCTCTGTGTTTACTTGGTCGGGTCTGAGCGGCTGTGGGACTGGCGGGTGACAGAGATTTGTCCTGACTGTGGGCCAGGCAGGAAAACTCTAGCTACACCTTTCCAAACAGTTCAATTGGGGACTAGGAATTCAAATATATGAGCCTATGGGGGCCATTACCATTCAAACCAACACATAATGGACAGTATAATAGCTCATGAAACTTAGCCTTAGATAATCTATACTGGCATATTCAGAGATATATTCAGATGGAAAAGAGAAAATTGGCAAGTTCTAGGTTGACTACCTTGGGGGACAATAGATATGGGAGAAAATATATCACAGATATCAGTATCCTGGCAGCTTTCTGTTTAGTAGCCCAAAGTTCATTGAGCCTTCCCAGAAATCAAAAAGCATATGCCCTTATTAGAATATGGGTCATCTGCTTTCAAGTGTCCTTTGGAGCCTGCCTGTTGTAGAATATTATTTTAAGGTATATTACTTTTGTTTATGTTGCATTTGTTTAACTCTGTGAAGCTGTGTTACTTTGCCTGTCTAGAACACCTGATTGGTCTAATAAAGAACTGAACAGTCAATAGCAAGGCAGGAGAAAGGATAGGCAGGGCTGGTAGGCAGAGAGAATATACAGAAGGAGAAATCTGGGAGGAAGAAGGAATAGCCTGAGAAGGAGGAGAACTCCCGGAGCCAGTCACCCAGCTACACAGCCAGACACAGAATAAGAAGGAAAGAAAAGCTGGCTAGAAACAAGCCAAGCCAAAGACCAGGCATTTATAATTAAGAATAAGCCTCCATGTGCAATTTATTTGGGAGCTGGGTGGCAGGGGCCCCCCAAAAGAACAA